TTATTTACAAGCCTTCCAAAGACCCCCTCAAAAAAGTCTTTATCGAGAAAGTATATACAGTTTGTATATATAAAGAATATATATAAATATATAAAGAACCCAGGAACACTTCTAAGCGTCTAGTATTTCCTCTACTAGAACTAGAGTGGCTCATCTTCATAGACAATCTCAGAGGCAGCTTCAGTGCATTCTGTTGAATTTCAACAGGTGGCTCTGTGGCGCCATCCGCTGTCGAAAACAACGCATTAAACGACGTGTCTCGTAAAACTTCTCCAAAAACAACTTTAAAATAATTTTTTAAAGTATACGTCTTTAATAAAAACAGTACATTACGTCATTGATTCTTTATACAGTAAAAACCAATAAGTGCTAATGACCACACCGACATACAAACTGAATGAATATTAACAAGGCAATGAATAAAGATAATGTAAATATTTGTTATTCCTGCGGGAACAATGCCCAGATTTATGACTTGAATATGTTCTAATGAAACGTTACACAGCTGCTGTCTGCCTGAAAATACAGCAGCATTGGCAGGTCTCTTCCTGAAACACCGTGTGCATATTAATATACATCATTCCAGTCTCAGCTGCAGCTTTATCTGCAGCTCTGCAGCTGGCTGAGGGTAAACACAGAGGCTCGGTTACTACGGTTGAGTCCCCCTGTTACAGGAATCCTACAGCTGAGAGGAAAACAGCTTGCAGACAGGAACACGGTGTAAACCAAGGGTCAAAGATCATTTTAAAGACCAAGTTGAATGTTGCTTTCTTAATTTAATTTCTTAAATGCTAGCCGTTTTTCCCTCACCAGGCCTCCATTACAATGTTTTATTATTGTTATGTATTTTAATGTAAAAAGAACGATTTTAATTATTACATGTAATTAATGAGTTTTAATTTTCTCTCAACTTGATGATCGAATGTACTCATTTTATTGTGAAGTTAACATTTTTGGCCTTTCTATTTTCTCTTAATCTTTTCCTTAACAGTGTATGTAACAATGTACAGTTTATCAGTTAAATATACCTCTTAATAATAATAATAATAATAATAATAATAATAATAATAATAATAATAATAATAATAATAATAATAATAATGGATTGCGTTTATATAGCGCTTTTCTAAGCGCTAGTATGGTGATGACAGCTTTCTTTAAAAGAGTGAAATTAGCAGTAAAGTGCAAAATCAGCTGTTTTAAATGTAAGTGTCTGGATTCGAGGATTCTGTCTTCCTGTGCTGATGTCTTTTATTACCGGTATCCTAGTGATGCTGCCCATTAGCTTCATTGTGCTGCTGAGTTATTGTTGAAGTTTTTGGTACTTGGTGGATTACTTTGAGGTTCCCTCAGTGTGGTGTTCTGATTCTGAGGGGGTCCAGTGGGAAGCACAATGTGAAAATTCTATGTCTTTCTACTTTAAATAATACTGTGATGCACGTTTAAAGATAGTAGACTCAATAAATGTAGAAAAAACGAGATGTAGTGTTGACATTGTAATGTTACTTTCTTTATCTGAGGTTAAAAATCACCTGTTTTGTAAATAGATCTTTACAAAAAAAAAGTTTCGAGGAAGTGGTGTAAAGGATTTCCCACTCATGTTTTTGTGGAATAAAGTTGTTTGTTTGTTTGTTTGTTTGTTTGTTTGTTTGTTTGTTTGTTTGTTTGTTTGTTTGTTTGTTTTAAAGCTCATATATGGTCCGCGTGAATGTTATCAAAAAGTACTTTTTTACACTTACAATAAGTAACTGACTTAAAAATAAATAAATAAATAAAAACAGGCTATTATGGGACAATTTTACTGTCTGATACTCGAGATCAGACTGGGCTGCACGTGGCTCATGAAGTAAAGTTTGTTTCCACGCAGAGTCAACGTCATGTCTAATTTCTGCCAAAAGAGGGCAGTGTTCCCTAAAAAACTGCCGTATGTTTATTCATGAAGAAGTCAGAAAATATCTTCACAACATATTTGTTCTAGTGATGCAAACCCAGATACCAACACCAATGTTTCACTCAACAGTGCAATACCAATAATTTTTCCTGATGCTTAATTTGTTTGTTGTACTGTGTATTACTGTAAACAGTAAACTACATTAGTCCTGCAGTAAACCAGTTTACAGTAAACTTTAATAAAAAATAATATGATAATAATAATAATGTAAATGAAATTATCTTAATGGTAGTGCAAATTCCTGTGAAGTGTTGTAAATGAATACAGCAATAATATTATAAACACATTTGCAATAAACCTTTCACAGTGTAACTTTGTGCTAAAATAAGGTCCCCTGAAGGTTAAACTTCCCCCACCATGTTTCCTCCTGCGCAGTCCACCCATAGATATTAACTCAGGGTTCTTACTGTGGTTGTACATCTTGATAAGCAACCCTCGTTTCTTTCCAGTTTTCTACTTTCATTTCACATCTGTCTCCTCGATCGTTACGGTTTAGACGTCTCACCCATGTTAGCAGAGTCTGCTGAGCTCTTCTTCCCATGGGAAACATCAGCAGAAAAAAAAGTCCTAACAAGCCAACACCCAGCACACATGACAGAGCTGCTGTGGAGCTCAGAAGATCAAAGATCTGATTACAGGCCAGAAGAAACATTTTTAATGTGATAATCAGCCGTGCAGAGGCTTTGTTTCATATGAGGCTGAGAAGAGGTCTTGGTAGGAAAACACTTCCAGTAAATGCATGCACAACTCATGTGGACTGAATATTACCAGAGACACATGACCCGATAAAACACCGTCAAAGGCAACACCCACATTATTTTAAAAGATGAAAAGGTGTAATGGCGTGGAAAGCAAGACAAATATTGTTTGAGTTTCCTAAACAAACAAAGTTCTTTCCCCATATTTCATTTTCTGTGTCCGTCCTCTTTATGAAGGACATAAAGGTCTCACAGTCCTTTACCAATCTGGACTTTTACACATATCTTGTTGTTGTTTTGGTTATAAACATTTATGGGTAGCAAACAGCATACATACTCTTATATCACAACAAAAATGGGCATATTTCTAATACTTACATGGGATGAACACTGATATCCTGGATGATGGGAGGAAAAATAGAAATATAAAAACTTAGAAACAAAATCTTATTCATGATAAATGTCTTTGTTTAGGATGACAGAGCTTCCGAGCTATGCAGCGACTAAACCTCACACCTCTGAAAATGCTGCTGCGAATCTTCTAATAGGCTCCATTTAAAGATTAATCAACTACATTCTTGGTTTGAAACAACTCAAAACTCTCATTTTATATGATGAATGCTCTCTATATACACTTTTATGAAAGTAAAAGTCTCATGGAGATTGAGAGAGTAGCATTGACAAAGAGAAACATTTTCACAATCCTTAAAAAGCTAATAACTTCAGGTTCTTCTGGGATTATTCCGGAAACTGGGGGCAGCGTTTTTAAAAGCTTGTTTTCCGAGTTGTGTCCGTAAATGCTGGAAACACTAATAATAATATGTTGAGAAAGTAAAGGCCACACTGATTATGGTTATTACACATGTGTGCAGTGCATGTACACAGATAACAGGGAAGTCGTCCATGGTGACATTTAATATAAAAACAAACCAATGGCAAACATACAGAGACGGACATTTAGCAGCAGCAGCGTAGAGAACAGTGATGTACATGATTTACACTAATAATAATAAACGTAAAGCACAGTGGCACACACTATCTAAGTTCCTTACTGATACCAAGCAACTGCATTTATGACCCTAATCCAGTAAAGACAGAAGTTATACCTACCTAATTTACTTTCTTACTTATTTTCTCATCCCATAAACAGTCATATAAAGAATTTATGCCTGAATTTGACATTTGTAAACATTTTCCTAAAGTATGACCTGAAAAATGTGACTATGATTATGTTATGTTATGATGGGGAAAGCACTTTTTAAAAAAACTGCACAGAAAATTCGAAATGTAAATCTGAGGTCTATAAAATGACATTTAAAGGAATAAAAGGGCATAATTATATTCTGGAGTATGCTTGGGACATTTTCAGTGAAGGTGAAAACTGGGATTAAAAGTGGAAATTGACAAAACCAGCAAATGTGATTAGTCTCTTTTTTTCCTGTTAATCTCTGTTTTGTATTGATGAAAATGAAGCCCCTGATAGGGTGCTAAGAACTGCTAAGAATATATGTTTAACAATTTTTTTAGATCACCTGCCATAAAAACAAGAAACAAATAATTTAGAAATCTGTACAAAAAATATGTTTAACACTAAAAACTATATTATTATTTAGATGGCAAATAAACAGAATTTAAGTTTTTATACTCTGAGAAGTCAGAAAATAATTAAGCATAAAATTAATCCACTAAAACTAATTTTGTATTCAAGAACGCAAGTAACTAAGTGGAATGTAGCATCTTAATAAAAATAATAATAATGATGCGCTTCATGAGCAATTTGAAAATTCAAGGATAACAGCAAAAATTATACTGAAGCATTATAATATAGGAAGGTGTTTGTGGTGGATTAGGCAGTACAGAGCATTAAAAATATAAATTGGAAATGGCTAATATTTAGGGCAGCTGTGGCATATACATAACACTGGGTGGTGGTCTAATAAATTTGTTAAGTACTGTACACATTACTATAAAGCTTGATTATTTTAATTTTTTATCAGCTTTTTGTAATCCTGTTGTTGCTTTGTTGCTTAATTGTACATTTGATATATGTATTTAAACAGAAAAGCAAAGCAAACAAACACAAGAAATAAAAGAATAAAAAATTAGTTTCTTTCAAATGCTGTCGTTTAACCTTTGAGTATTCAATATATATATATATATATATACACACAATCTGATTGTTTAATGTTGACATAAATGGCATTCCATACAACACTCCCCCTTTCCCCACAAAAGTTAACTACAGCCTCGCATACACTCATGCGATTGGAGGTAAAGGAATAACGGGGCGTGGTCAAAGCAATGGTAACCTGACACCTGCTCCACGCGCTGCTAACCAGTCACCACAGAGCAGCAGGCAGGCAGTCCGTCAGTGAGTGGCGGACCGTTGGGTCGTTGTTTCACCGTGTGTCTCTGTGCTGTAACGGACCTCTTGTGTTCTTTTCTGTGATAAAATCATGTCCCATTAACGGATTCGTCTCGCTGGTTCTGGAGTTAAATTAAACCCTGGTGCTCCCAGCGCTTTGGAGAAAAATGGAAGCTGTGAGCAAGTGGAACCCGCAACAAGTAGTGGAGTGGATGAGAGGTAAGGCTGCTGAAGAGTAGGAACTAACTACATCCAGTGGGTGGGAGTGGTAGTGGGGTGGGTGCACTTTTCGGAGGGAATTAGCGGTTCTTTGGGGGCAGAGAGGAGAGTTAATGGCTAACTGTAAAGTTCTGCTTTTCCCGGCCTTAACCTACTTGTCATGCAGGAGTTTTCTTGATCTTTATGGATCAGTGTCGGTCCCATAAACTGCAAACAGTAAAATCTACTACTTTTATGTGTTTGTTTTTTTTCTTTTTTAAAATTAATATTTTTAAAGACGTTTCTAGTTTATGGCTAATTGGGAAGCTTATGTCTTGGAGGAATGTTTGCTTTTAGATTTAAGGCGTTTACAGCATGTATATATTTAATCAGAGCTAAATTCACATACAACAGGTAAATATTATTTTTCTTAAAATATCTGAAATTGTTTGAATATTTTACTATAATCTAATAATAGGTTTTCTACTATTTCTTCCTTTTATTGATATGTTGTACTTCTGTTTGTGTTGTGTATGATGTAGTAGACCTGCACTACTGCAAGCTTGCAGTCCTGTTTGCAAAGTACCCTTAAATAACAAAAATGGGGAAAAAACTTGATTTTTACACCATGAGCTGATAAAAGTATATGTTACCTTTAAAAAAAGCAAAAATGTTGTCAGGTAAACTATTGAATAGTTTATAATGCATGGCTCTCATGTTTGTAGATTTGCCAATATGTAGATGATAGTGGATTGTATATTAATGTATTTCTAATTACATTTTGTTTATATTTATGAAAATAATCATTTTGTAGTATTAAAAGTTGTCTAAGTGCAGCCACAAAGGTGTTCTTAACAACACCCTCATTTACTAAGGGAAGTAGCATTAGCCCCGACAGTGGCGAACAGTGTTAGAAAGTAATATATAGTTGGCTAGATAGCAATAACTTGCCTATGCTGTGTAAATCTGGTGACGTTTAGAGACCATGAGAAAGACATGGTGCTAAAATAATCCTGAATTGACAGATGATTGGATATTTGGATTTAGGCTATGGTTACCATGTAAACCCCTGAGATTAGATATAGAAGCCAACCATATCTGCTCATATTTTACTACATGGCCACATGGCTGGGTTTTTATTTGATACCAAAAAACTAAACACCCTATATAAATAAAATGCACGGTTGATGTAGACGATGGCTTTTTGATATTAACTTATTCTCTTTCTTGTTCACTAACATTGCAACTTTTAAAAGCCAGTGTGAAGCCAAATCAGTTTTTTTTTTCTTTTTGTGGAGTTCATGTTGTTGTTTGTAGTTACTATTTAGTGGGCTACATTTCTAAGCAAAGAGAGGTACCTAAGATTCTCAGGAAGGTCTAACATTTTAATTTATTTAATTTAGTTACTGGTCATATAAACACTGGCAATAAGAAACACTTATTATGTGAAAAGCATTTCTAAAGCACATTTAAGTAAGAATGCAGAAATTCTACTTGAGAATATACTTGAAAACTTGATTATTGTTATTTTGCAATATAATTTTAGTTTGTATTTAAGAATGTGACTGAAAAATGAACACAGTCGAAACACAAATTAAAACAAGCAAAAAAAAATCCCTTAAATCCCAAGTATAGTGCAGGTTAATTTGACTTGAACATTGTTGGCTGACAGACTGTCTGATAAGGAAACACTCTGTGGTGGTTACAGTGTTTACTGACTGTGGGATTTGCACTCCCACATTCACTGAGCCAAGTATTCATATTCATCACTAACAGTGTTGTTAAGCAATAAACAGGCATGACCTGTTAGCACATCTGCCATAAAACGACACTCACACTGTTTTAACCTACCAGGACGTGACTCTTAGCAGATGACTATCATTTTATTGTTTTTATTATTAATTTTATTATATTATTCAATTTTCATCATAAATGCATAAAGTAGTTAATTGAAAAGCAGTTTATCGCCATGGTTTTAAAAGGCCAGTATGTAGCTTTCCTGGAAAAAACAGAAAATTCCTGTGTAAAATGACACATTATAGGAAAATTTAGGAACAAGTTCAGGGAAACTATTTTAATTTTATTTTCGACCTTTTAACCCCTCTGAAGTTGATAAGTTTGATAACCTGGGAGTTATTAATGTATTAATAGTCTGATATCTGAGGTAAACTAAGCAGACTGGGATAATTAGCCAAGTCAGTGAGCCTCTGTTGCCTTACTGTGCATTTTCCTGTATTCCAATCCTACTCTGAAAAACTGTTTATTTAAAAACAAAACAAAAGAAACAACGCAGGACATTTTCCTGCCAGAATCTCTTTATATTCATACCATAAGTGAAAAAAGACTTACATACCAAGGTGTAATGACATTCTTATCAAACTCTTTAAACCAATATCAAATCTCTGTAAAAGTTGTCCTATGTTTTTATTTTTAATAATAATAATAATAATAAGATTTGTAATTTTACCTCCCTGGGTCATTGTGGAGGATCTCAGCCTGTGTTTGTATGCGTTTATTACACTGCTGAGAGAAAACCATTCAGTCTAGCTTTGCTTCAGTATGCACACATACAGTCATTCACATGCGCACTGGCCATTTAGCAGTAAAGACAGTGCAGAGCTAAATGCAGTAAAGTGGTGGGCCTCCTGTCATGTGCTGGGTGAAAAGGTCAACGTGATGCTGGAGGTGCTATTAAACCAAATCTGACTATGTGACTTTGTTCTGCGTGAAAATGAATGACAGACACGTGAGCGTCAGTCCCATGGTTGGATCGCAAATGACAGTGAAAAACCTCAGATTTTACATTTGAAAGGCTTCAAAGTGTTTTGTTTTGTTTTCTTAGAAAACAATGGAGTTGTTTACTTAACTGTCAAAGTGGTTATCAGGATAATTTCCTTTATTTTCCAAAGTTAAAAAGACATGAGTTTGTAAAGTGGCAAACAGAAGCTTAGAAATGAGATGTGTTGTTGGCTCTGATCCTGCTGTAGTATTGACAGAGTGGATTGCTGCCGCTGGGTGAAGGCAGTCGGGGTGTGTATTAGGTATCTTTGCTCGACTCATGCGATCCAAGCTAGAGGTTCTTTTCATGGAAAGTACGTTCAGTCATCTTGACTGTAAAATCACAAGCAGGCTTCCAATGAATTTCTCCACCTGACCTCCAACTCAAGCCATTTTTTTTCAGTCACTCTGGTTTCTTATTCCTCTGCTCTTAGTTTTGCTGTCTTTTTACATAGACTGTATAGAAAAAAGGACAGCTTCCAGGCCTAAAAAGTCAAGTCATTGAGGAAGTCTCTTAAACATGGATCCCTTTCAGTGGCCACCAGGGGGCACATCCAGTTTTTTTATTTTATTTTATCAGTGTTTCCCACAGGATTTCATTGCCTTTGTGACTGTAGTAAGGCATGTGTAGACTTGTGTCTAGGTGAATAAATGATACCATATGCATTCTCTGAAAACAAATAACAACCCAATAATCAGTCTAGAGCAGGGCGATATGACCAAAAATATTTATCACGATATACATTTGAAAATTTGTGATAACTGACGATATAATTGACACTAGACAAAATACTTTACAACTCCACAACTTTATTAGTGCAAAAAAAAACCCCCATCAATGTATTTTCACTTAAACAAGCAGTTGTTTTTTTATGTGCATTAAAGTTATATAAAAATGTAACAGTGCAAATTCCTTGCTGACAGTTTAACCAAAAAGGCATTTCCAGTGGAAATTGGCCGACATATCCTCAGCATAACCATGTTTAATATCCACAAAACTTAAAAAGAGGTTATACACACACAATACGGTAATATTATGTTGAAGCACAGTACGTATCACTCCGCGAGGCTCCTGCCTACAATAGCCGTAATGCTCCGACAATCCATCAAGCTGTGCGGGTTTGTAGCTTAGCAAAGTCGTACTAAAACATTTGACAGATTTTCGAGCGCCATGTACCACATAAAATCGTTTTGAGGTCAGTAAACACAACCAGAATTCATACATAAGGCACACGGAATTATAAGGGGCGCTGACGATTTTCAGAAAAATCAAAGGATTGATTTTAAGTGTGCCGTATTTTCCAAAAAAACACGGTAATAACGACGGCCAGCTAGCACGCTCTACCAAAAATAGTGCTTTGTTGTGTATCTGACGGATGAAAGCTAAACCAGTTCCACACCACTGAAGTTGCAGCATTTTTACAAACCAGTTCTGATTCATCCGTTTCAATCAACGATCTGCTTTCGCCGCTATGCTTTTTCCGCCATGTGCATATGAAAACAAAGGCACTGCGCATGCGCGTTTTACCCACATTCTATCGCGATATTTCATTTTCCTATCGTTGCCCAACATTACACCGGTATTACCATGAATGGTATGTTATGGCCCAGCCCTAAATCGGTCCATCCTCCTGTAAAATAAAAAAATCTATTACCTAACTTTCCATAGCTAGAAATGTTCCTAATGATTAAAGGTGGGTAAGAATTGTGTCATCAGGTCTCATTTATTTATTGATCATGTTGTCTCAGACAGACAGTTTAGTAGTGGGCAAACAACTTGCCCTTAATTTGAAAGTTGTGTTGCTAAGCAGGTTAAAGGGTCCTTCCCTTCTCGTGTTTCCCGACGAGGAGCCTGCTTGGATTGCTGTTACGGTGGTCCTTGATGTCAGTCCACTGTCTCGAGTATCTTGCTTGAGTGGTCAGTGGTCACAGACGCCATCTCCAACATCTTGGACCGCAGATGGTGGTTATAGTTCTTGTTCTACTCTGGAGATCGCACTCCAACTCCATCTTGTTCAGCAGTTTTCATGGTAGTCGCTGCTCGCCTCTGCAGCATTGAGCTCAGCATAGCGTCAGCAGTTCTCCACCTGCTACAGGTTGGAATGCAAGTGTGGCCCACCAGCTCGTAGTGGAGGTCAGGCACATTTAGAAAAAAAAATTGGGCTTAAAGACTCAATTTTTATCCATCTTTAACCATCAGGAATATTTCTAGTTATTAAATGTTGGGTAGTAGATTTATAGGC